CTCTCCCTCTCCCTTTCTCCCTTTCCCTCCTTCCCTCCTTCACCTTCTCCCTCTTTCGCTCCTTCGCCCTCTCCCCCTGTCCGTTCCTCTCTCCTCTTTTCTCCATCTGTCCACCTGTCAGCCCACCTGCGTCGCTGTCTTTCTCCCTGCCCTACTGCTCTGCCCCCCCCCCCCACCTCCCTCTTATCTTCTTCATTCCTCTTTCTTTACGCATTCTTTCGCTTTTGTACTCGAGATCTAGCGGCAGATTAACATTTTATAGGCCTTAGGCTTAGTATGTATGGCTGGGACCTCCGTTATAAATATACTATAGAATAATTTTTTTTTTGTTTGTGGAGTCAATGCATAACAGCTGATAAAAAAGGAGCGTATATCTACCAGAGGTGTATTTGTGTATGTATTTTAGCAGGGGAGGCGTGTTATTTAGTTTAATGTCGTAAGAATACAAAAATCTGCAATTTAATTTATTTTTTATTTTTTGATGGATCTCTTATCCGGAATGAATTATTTTGATTGATTTTTTTTCTTTCTTTCTTTCATTTACACATAAATATGGCCTATGCAGACTGCAAGGCTATTTATTATTGCCATGGCCAGAATCCTCTCGTGTTTTTTTTTTCTCCTGTGTCTCTCTGCGATTTGCCTATTATCGACTTTCATTGTGTTTTCTTCCTTTTATCTCTCTGCTGCGTTATTGTAAATGTCGAGAGAAGTGAGTGTGTGTGTGTGTGTGTGTGTGTGTGTGTGTGTGTGTGTGTGTGTGTGTGTGTGTGTGTGTGTGTGTGTGTGTGTGTGTGTGTGTGTGTGTGTATGTGTGTGTGTGTGTGAGGGTGAGGGTGAGGGTGAGTGTGTGTGAGTGTGAGTGTGAGTGTGAGTGTGAGTGTGAGTGTGTGATCAAGAGCCCAGATGTGAAACAACGCTTCGCTTGCAACCTGTATCCAAGTTTCCGACTTCTCACCGCTCGCCGCTGTTCATTTGATTACGTCGTCACGGCGTGGGAACCCGGGCAGGTTTATACCCAACTTCCTACTCCCACCCCCACCCCTGCCCCCTACTCCCTATCCCACCTTCACCACACTCCCTCTATTTCTCCCTTCCCCTCTTTGTCCCTGTCCCTCTCCCCTACACCTATCCTTCCCTTCCCTTTCCTTGTTCTCCCCCAACACACCCCGTACCCTATCCTCTCCTCCCCTACCTGTCCTCTCACCTCTTCCCCCCTCTCTGTCCCTCTCTGTCCCTCTCCTCCCCTAATCCGCCCCCCCCCCCTCTCAAAGGTGTATGAAGGAGGGAAGGAGCTTGGGAACGAGAGATACGGATGGCGGGGGGGGGGGGGGGGGGGGCTTGGGGGTTTATGGGGGGGGGGGGAGGTTGAGGTTATTTCATCTATATCAGGTTCAGGAGGAAATGTTATATATTTAAGGTCAGTTGGGATAGGTGGAAGAGGGGGGAGGGGGGGAGATGGAGAGGGGGGGGGGCAACTGTATGGGGACAGTATCCGGTTCATCAAGGACCAGGGGGGGAGGTGGGGAGGGGGGGGGGCGGTTGGGTTACGGGTAGCTGTACGTATTTATTTTATATGTTTAATTATTTATTTATTATTATTATTTATCTTTTTTTCTTCATCACCTTTATTATAGTTGTTATTGTTGTTTTGTTATTATTATTATTATTATTATTATTATTGTTATTATTATTATTATTTTATTATTATCTATTATTATTATTATTATTATTATTATTATTATTATTTTATTATTATCATTATTATTATTAATATTATTAATTGTCACATTTTTAGTTATCTTGTCACATTTAGTTATTTTCTTATAAAGAAAGGGAAAGGGTGTGGGAAGAAAGAAGACGAAGAGCGAAGGGGGTGGGGGGGGCGGGGGGAGGAGAGACATATTCCAGCAGTTTCAATTAAGATCTATAATGTCTTAGAAAAAAAGGGGGGGGGGGGAAGGGAAGAGAAATAATTATTCAGCTGAGTGGAAAGAGGGAGGATTTTTTTTTCTTTCTTTCTTCTTCTTCTTCCCTTTCTTCTCGGCGTTAAGACACGCGGGTGGGGAAGGGGGAAGGGGGGAAGGGGGGGGGGGGGGGGGGGGCGGGGTTGGGGAAGGGGGAAGGGGACGGGGTTGGGGAAGGGAGGGGGGGCGGATTGAGGGAGGGAGGTAGATTTTGTCTTGCATGTTGTAATGATGGAGATAGAGATAGAGATGGCGAGAAAGAGAGAGAGAGAGAAGAGAAACGGATAGAAAATGAAAAAAAAGGGAAGGGGGGGTGAATTCTAAATAGCCCAAAAAACTTATTTTTCGGGGAACATCAAATCAGTAAATGGAATACCGCGAAAGTTGCATTTCGCCGTATTGCACCTGCAACATTGAGCGTAAGTAAGCATACAACTCTCACCCCCTTATTTTTTACTGCATCACTGATTCCCTTTTCTCTTCCTTTCTCTCCCATGTTTTTCTTTACTCTCGTTTTATTCTTTTTTTTTTTACTACATCAGGCGTTTCCACGTCTCTCTTTCTTTCTCCAAATTCTTTGTTCCATTATTTTAGCTCCATCAATTATTCCCTTTTTTTCTCATTCTTTTCTCCCTCTCATTTTTTTTCCTTTTTTCTCCTTTTCCCTCATTCCGACCAAATCCTTTCTTCCCTTTACTCTGATTCCCTTATTTTTTTCTATTATTTATTCCCTTTTTTCTCTTCCTTTCTCCCTCTCTTTCTTTCCGTTTCTCTCCTTTTCCTT